TTACGAATGTGATTGCACTTTAGTTTACATATTTAAATCTTCAGATATTAAGATTTGAATGAGACAAAATAACATGCTTTTTCTCTCAAATATATTGCTATAATCATTTGTTTCAGATGTACTGTAATTATTTTCTGTATAAAAATTAATTTGGTGTTCAAAAAGTATTTTTTCAAACTTGAGTCTTGAAAAAGAGGGGGTCGTCTTATAATCAGGGCCGTCTTATATTCGGGCCAATACGGTAATGGCTGTAACTATAGACGCTCTGTCTGCAATCCTACACTACAGTACGAGGTAACATCCCTCCATCCATTTTCTGAACCGCTTTATCCACACAAGTCCAGTCTCATCCATATTAAAAGTTTGCTGGGGAAGACATTCCTCTGCCTTGATGAGATTTTCAAACTCAGCTTTAAACTTTTCGGCAGCTTCCTTGTTTGAACTGGCTGCCTCTCCATGACGAATCACTTTTTTTCCTCAACTTTTCAAACCATCCTCTGCTTGCTTTAAAATCAAACAATTCAGGAGCAATGCTAGGATCCTTTTCTTAATCAAATCTCCATACAATTGTCTTGTTTTGCCACAAATCGTATCTTGGCTAAGACTGTCCCCTGCTAGCTGTTTCCCATTTATGAAAATAAGCAAACGTTTCTCCACTTCCTCTAATATTTGTGGCCTTTGTTCACTCAACACATGAGATCCTTTAGCCACATGACTGACTTTATGATGGTCTTTCTTTTTTAGGATGCTGCTGATTTCGGCATGCCGAACTCCTTAGCCAACACACACATGCACACCTGATTCGTATTTCACTATCAAATCTTTCTTAAATTCAATAATTTTGCACACTCTTTTCCTCTTTTTTAAGCAGCTTTACTACTTCCACTTGCTTTCTTTGGTGCCATGCACAAATAACAGTCCAATTTGCACCAATCTCAACAAACATGTCTGTTTTTTTTTTAAATCTTCATTGAACACGTCTGCTCACAATGGACGCTCTTTTTTAAAAAATCTTTGAACACGTCTGCTCACAATGGACGCTCTCTTTTTTAAAAAAAAATCTCTATTGAACACGTCTGCTCACAACGGAAGCGTCACTTCCCCATGTAAGAAAGTCGAGAGAAGTCGAGTGGCGCATTCAAGTGCACTCAGTTTGGTCGAGAACCGAATTTCGGTCGTAATCCGAGTCATAAAAAAAAATCGAAATTTTTGGTTGAAAACCGATTTGGTCGAGAACAGAGAAGTTTGAAAACTGAGGTTCGACTGTGTGTATATCGACTGTGTGTGTGTGTGTGTGTGTGTGTGTGTATATATATATATATATACCGTATTTTCCGCACTATTGGGCGCACCAAAAAGTATTCCAATTCCTTAAAAGCTCACCGAGCGCCTTAAAATCCGGTGCGTCTTTTGTATGGTCATTACGGTAATACATCGACTCCAAGATGGCTCCTTCCTGGAGACATGCTTCCAATGTTATAACTTGCTGTTGGTTCAGTGAACTGTGTCGCTGCTTTATTGCGTAAGTATGTGTTGCAGCTCCGAAAAAAGGAGAGCTGTGGTGTTAATTTTTTAAAACAGTCTCAACAAATACAGGTACGTCTTTGTCTATCTCCGTGCTTTCTTCCGTTCGACTTGAGAGGCGTTCAAGACGTAAACTAACGATTACTTCAATGAAACTACAAAAATTGAAAATAATAATTCAAAACTGAAAAGCAAGTGAGGATATAACAAAATACATTCAATCCCCCCCCCCTACAGAATTTATATTGTGATTTCATCATTTGTGAATACACAACAAAGGAATAAATAACTACTACTGACATCTGATCGTAGTAGTCATGGTGCCATGATCAAGGAAATGCCAATGCGTTTTTCGGAGGCGGTCATGAACATTGTGAGACTATTAAAGTTTTTTTATTTATTTTTTTTTATTTTATCTTATCTGATTGTACTCTTGGAGCTACGATAAAGGAAATGCCATTGGGTTTTTCGGAGGCGATCATGAACGCCTCTCGAGTTGACCGAAGAAAAGAAGGGAAGGAGACACAAAGACACACCTGAGTTTGTTGAAAAAATGAGAGCTATGGTTATGGTTTTATTATTTTTTTAAACGCAGACTTTATTAATAGTTTTCACAGTCTCAGCAAGTACAGGTATTGTACGTCTTTGTCCGTCTCCGTGCTTTCTTCCGTTGCACTCGAGAGGCGTTCATGGCCGCCTACGAAAAAAGTAAATTAATTCTTACTTCAATGAAACCATGAAGAAAATCAAGTGAGGAAATCACAAAATAAATTCTGTAGGAGGGATACAGAATTTATTTTGTGATTTCTTCGCTTGATCTTCTGTTTTGATGCATTATTTTCAATTTTCATAGTTTCATTTTCATTGAAGTACAGTAATAGTTAATTTACATTTTCAGAGGCGGTCATGAACGCCTCTCAAGTTGAATGGAAGGAGCGTAGCACCATCTAGTGGACGCATTGTAGATTGCGCCTTTTGGTGCGAAGCATCTAATATATGAAAAAAATTTACAAAATATCCATTCATTGAAGGTGCGCCTCATAATCCAGTGCGTCTTTTCGGGCGGAAAATATGGTATATATATCTATATATAGATATCTATATATCTATATATAGATATATATCTTTATATATATATAGATATATATCAGTGGCGGACCCTCAGGGCCAGCAAGGCCTTCTCTGCTGGCCTAAACATTCTCAGAAAAGTACATTTACTTTTATGAGAATAACATTAATTTGTTATTTTATTTTCATAATAATGTAAAGGTAGTGCAGAGCTGACACAATTAGAACAGGATAGCTCACATATTCAAATTCACAAGCACTACTTCAGGGCTGGAAGGTCCCAGCACAATAGACCCAAGCAAACCAACTGAGGTCGCCAGCCAAATCACGATTGATTAGGCTTGTATCCATGCAAGGCTGCATTTTATACAACGCGACCACTTTCAATCCTATACACTCAAAACCCCTCATTCCCTTTTGTGTATGAATGCCCTCATCAATAGGCCTCATTAATAGGTTAAAACTTGGCACTCTTCACGACAAGTAATGTCATGATTTGTTTATATTCTGCTTCTCGTCACTGTTTATTCCTCACCCTGAAAATTATATGAACAAGTGTCAGAACTGTTTAATGTGGAACACAGTTTTTCACAGGCATTGTGTAGGAGGATCACTTTCACACAAAGCTAATTCTGCAGCAACTGTGTTTGACATAACTGCTTTCTGAAGTTTTATAATTATTGCTGACATTTGCATGGCTTAAATAATTCAGATTTTTTTTTAAACCCACCCTACAATCAGAATGTGCGCATACTGTCCGTCAGCGGTCCCCAACCTTTTTTGCCCGCGGACCGGTTTAATGTCAGACAACATTTTCGGGACCGGCCTTCAAGGCCGGATAAATACAACAAAGTAATATGACCTGCATGAAAACTGTGGTGTTTCTAACCATAATAATAAACACAAACATATCTGTCCTATGGTAACGTTTAAACGTGCCTTCA